TCCCCCGCCCCCTCAAGCTTTGGCGAAGCGTCCTGGCTCGCCTATAGGCCTATCAAAGTATGTTCTAAGAACCTCTTGTGGCTTCCACGAAAGGTTCTCAGAACATGTCTGGCTGGGGGTGTCTTGTTTTAGCACACAAGGTTTATGTTCTAAGAACCTGGCTGTTGTCTTTAGAACATGATTGGGTTCTAAGAAAACTTCGTGGTAGGCCTATAGATATGCCAGGACGGTCGGTCCCTGCTCAAAAGTTGTGTGTGTGTGTGTGTGTTTCTTCCCCTCCCCTGACATCCTCGCACTGCGAGAAAATCGCGACGGATGGCATGGGGCAAGTCTCTGCCTCGTGACAAGTTCGGAGCTCTCTGGGGCCGGATGAGAAGCCGGTCTTGGGGAAGGGTCCAGGTGTCTTGGAAACTACGTTGTGACTCAGGAGGGGAGACACACACACACACACAGACACAATTGATCGTCGAGTCCCCAGAAAATATGGCAAAATATTGGAAGTGTGTGGGGGGGGGGGAGACCACAACCCCAAAAATATAGGAAAATATTGGGAATCCTTTGATTTGTGTATTTATTTGTGTGTCCCAGGGCCCCTTCAGTGACAAAGACCACGACGCTGGATGTCTGGCCTTTTCCATGTCCACGTCCCTTCCAACTCCTCCGTTGCTTCTGTCCTCGTCCTCTATGGTGCCTCCGCCCCTTCCCTCTTCGCTCCTTGACTAGCTCCCTGCCTCCCTCCGTCGCCTCTTCTCCATCTTCCCCTGGCGTCCAACTTTTTATGAGTTGGCGCGAACCGCACCTGGGTGCGCATCATCGCAATCTCCGCAATCTTCCCCTGGCGTCCTCCTCATCCTCACAAACCTCTGCTGAAGCCATCTTGGTTTAGAAGACTTGCTGAACGGATGTCATTCGCATGCAAGCCAGTTTACGGGCACCCCGATCTTGCTTGCTCGTTCTTGAGTTCATTCGGAGGGCTGCCCAGCGGCACAAAACAGCGCCAGGCATTGAGCAGGGCTCTCTGATACTACAATGGTTGGGCCATGGATCCGAATTGTATCAAAGTGAGTTGGCCCGAGTCATGTAATAGGATTGATCATGCTCTTGCGTGCAGGGAGGTCGGGCGGCGCATTAACACGAGGCTGCGCAGTTAATTCTTGGAAAGCGCAGTTCCCAGCGGACGATGTGCAAGGCTACGCGTGCGGGAAATGTTTGCGTTTCTCACTTTCGCCTTCGGCGTGACTGTTGTATGCTGGCTCGTTCACGAGCTGTGTGGGAGGGAGGTGTCCTTGAATCGCGTGCGGAATGGTGTCTGCCGGTGGCAGCGTGGCTGGTCCATACTGCGGCGCTTGGCTAGCCCGACAGTAATATTGAAGAGTTCTTGAACTAGTTCGGCTACGAGATGTGGGGCGCTGTTTCGAATCACCGCCGATATTTGGCAGCTAAAGAGGTTTCTCTTATTTTCGTCATAGGTTTCGTCATGAATTCGTTCGGAGTCTTGGCCGTGCATCGCCCCATCAGCAAAGCTGTCGGACGTGTACACCGGCAATTCTTTCGTTATTACTTCTCTCAGGAGGGAATAAAACACACAGACACAATCAATCGTCGACTCCCAGGAAAATATACGAAACTATGGGAGGTGGGGGGAAAACGAAAACCCAGAAAATGTGAGAAAAGATAGGGAATCCTTTCATTTGTGTGCATTCATTTGTGTGTCCCAGGGCCCCTTCACGTTCCTCATTGTCGTTGCCCTTCCTCGCGCTCCTCCTCCTCTTCCCCTTTCCGCCTGTTCCCCTCGCGCGCTCTGTCCATCCCCCTCCTCTCCACCCCCCTCCCCCCTCCTGCCTACCCCCCCGGGGAAGGGGCCTCTCCCGCTCGGCGATCCGCGGCTGCCGGCCCTCCAGTGTCTCGGGGCCTCCGCCCAGGGATTTGGACGCCCGAAATGGGCACGGAAAGAATGGGCACAATGCCCAACCACAAATGTTGTCCCAAACCAACAGCGGCCGCTGTTGGGCAGGCGGCCTTCTGTCTCAAATAGACACAGGCCGCGGCGACACCGACAGCGAGTCCTGTTCAGAATGAACAGGAACTGCTGTTGGGCATCGTACCCATTCTTTCCGCACCCATTTCGGGCGTCCAGAGCCCAGAGAGAAGCCTTGCTGCCACCGGGAGGATACGTCAGCCTGGAGGAGGAGTGATCCCAAGACCACGGCGGAGGGACGGCGCGGGCCCGCGCCCGCGCACTGTCTGGAGCCAGGGAGGCTGGGAAAAAGGCCCCGTGCGGTGCAGGAGGGGAGACAACACACAGACACAGTTTATCTCCTCCTCCTCCTCCTCCTCCTCCTTCTCCCCCTCCTCCTCCTCCTCCTCCTCCTCCTCCTCGTCCTCGTCCTCGTCCTCCCCAGGAAAATATGGGAAAACGTTTGGAAGCGGGGGGGACGACGAAGCTCCAGAAGATGTGGAAGAACGCTGGGGGATCCTGGCATGTGTGTCTGTTCCTCTGTGTGTCCCAGGGCCCCAGTCAGCGATGCTTAAGAGCGGGCCGCTCCGAGCGGGCCCGCAGGCGGAAAAAGGACAGCCAGAGCGCTCATCGCGGTGCACCCACGCGAGGGGGGGTGGGGGCTCCTCCGCTTCCTCCTCCCTCCTCCCTCCTCCTCCTCCTCCTCCTCCTCCACTTCCTCTTCAAATTGCCTGCGCCCACGAGAAGACAGCGAGAGCGATCGTCGCTGTGCATCCTCGCGATGGGGGCCGCCCTCGCAGTTGCGGGTTCGCCTTCTGGAGAGCCATCCTGTGTTCAGGAAGCCTCCTTCCCGCCCTCCTCTTCCTCCTCTTCCCTCCCGCCTTCCTCCTCTTCCTCCTCCCTCCGTCCTCTCATGCCTCCTCCTCGTCCTCCTTCCTCCTTTCCTCCTCTCAGGCGACCCCAGCGCGCCAGGAGGTTTCTGAATCCAGCGCGGGAGTTCGAAGAGGGGAAATCGACGAAAAGAGGGGCATCGAAGAGGGGAAATCGACGAAATGAGGTCTATGAATCCAGGGGGGAAATCGAAGAGGGGACCTGACGGAAGCCGACCCCGTCGCAGGGTGCTTAAGGAAGCCAGTCTTTCAGGCCACACGCGAGAGGATGAGAAGGGCAAAGCTGAAGAATTGGAAGAGGAAGTGGAGGAGGAGGGCCAGGGGAGGGCGAAGAGGACGAGGGTGAGGAGGAGGAGCAGAAAGAATGATAAGGCGAAGAAGAGGAGAATCACGAATGATACGACGAAGAAGGATGATATAACGATAGGAAGGGAGAGCATTAAGAATGGTAAGACGAAGAGTAATGTCAAGACGAAGAAGACGAGCACGAGGGTCAGGAGGATGCCGACCACACGGGTGAACTCGCTGGTGATTGCGGCGATGGTTGTGAGTCGAGGCAGGCGACCAGCAGCCATCGGGAACCCGCACATCCAGCCGCACCGGCCGCCCTGCCGGCCTTCAACCGAGGTCCCCGCCGTCCCCGAGTCGGTGGCCCCCAAACGGGATGGTGACCACACCGTGCGGTGAGTCGGTGAGGATTCGGGGTCACCGCACGGTTTTGGACTCGGGTCGTTCTCCGAGGCCGTCTCTGGCGACTGGGGCCGCCGAGGTCCCAAGACCGTGACAGACCGTGCGGTGACGGACCGTGCGGTGAGGTCCTGGGAGATTTCGAGGTCACCGCACGGTCTGTCACCGCACCGCTTCGGGACTCCAAACCGAGTCCCCTCGACGGGGACCCGCCGCGCGAGCGGGAGAGGAGGGGCCGAGCCAGGGGAGGCGCAGGAGGAACCAGGGCAGTAGCAGGAGGAGGAGGAGGAGGAGGAGGGAGGAGGAGGGGAGGAGGAGGAGGAGAGGAGGAGGAGGAGGAGGGAGGAGGAGAGAGGAGGAGGAGGAGGAGGGAAGAGGAGGAGGAGCAGGAGGGAGGAGGGACGAGGGAGGAGGGAGGAGGAGGAGGGAGGAGGGAGGAGGGAGGAGGGAGGGAGGAGGGAGGAGGGAGGAGGAGGAGGAGGAGGAGGTGGAGGAGGAGGAGGAGGAGTGAGGAGGAGGAGGTGGAGGAGGAGGAGGAGGAGGAGGAGGAACAGGAGGAGGAGGAGGAGGAGGGAGGAGGAGGAGCCAGGACAGGAGGAGGAGGAGGAGGAGGAGGGCGCCAGGCCGCGCGCGGTCGGCGGGCGCCCCGAGAGGACGCCACGAAGGCGCTCGTGGACATGAACGGCAGATATTTCGGCGGCCGCGTGGTCAGAGCGAGGTGCCCCTCCCCAGCATCCCTCGGGTCCGTATGGGCCCCGCTTCTCGCCGTCCTCTCACCCACCCCCCCGACCCCATCTCCCTCCTCGCCCCCTTCTTCCGTGACACATACTGGTCGCCTCCCTCCCTTGATGTTGCCTTTCTTTGTGACCGCAGGTCTCGTAGATTGCTTCTTACACACTGGATTGTCCCGAGTTGGTTTTCGATAGTGCGGCTTTGTATGATCAGAACGTTGTCGGTTTTCGAAGGCCGTGTTCACGCTGCAGTGCGTGTCACATTATCTGATCTCGGGAGAACCTCCATCCAAAGGAACGACGCTCTCGCCGCAGCGCTTGCCGCACTCTTGCATGACTGAAAGTAGGGTTATTGCCGCTGGGCCGCTGGGCTCGCCACATGTACGACTGTCCGTCGATCTTCCAAGGGAACGAGGCCCTCGTCGCAGCGATGCTGTTTGTTCAAGGAGTCGGTGTCTGTCAGGGTATGTGCCGATAGCCGGTGGTACAGAGGGCCCGGTGGTTGGTACGGTCTTTTGTTGACGTAGAGCGTCTTCGAGTGATGTGGCTATCTTCCTGTCCTTCTCGGCTTTCTTGTCCTTGTCGTCTGTCGCGGTCCTGGATCTGGATAGCATGTATTTGAGGCAGCGGGTGTCACCGAGGTTGCGCGTGACGGTGTATCTTTTTTCCTTGTCTTTGATGTATCTCTGCGCCGTTGTGTATAGGTCCTCGTGGCATTTCCAGCGGTACTGTCGTAGTTATTATCGGTCTTGAGGCGGTTCTGCATACGAAGGGTGGGATGTGGCCTCCTGTTCCTCGTAGGAGTCGGTCGCCTTGACTACTTTCTCGGTGGTCCTGTCCAGCTTCCATGCAGGTTGCTCTCTTGTACGACTAGAGCTCCTAGATGACCCTCGTGTACGGGACTGCCCGCCTTTCTGGTTGATGTCATCCTGCTCCCATGACGATGCTGGTTAGAGCTCCTGCTGCTGTGGACGTGGACCGTGGTCGAGGTGTTGCGTTGGCTAGCGGCTGTCCGCGTAAACAAACAAAAAAAGTCGTCCTGTTCCCATGTCCACTGGTTCCCACGGTAACAGATCCAGACCTCTATGGGGGGGCGTTTCTGCCGCAGCCGTTGCATTTCCAGTAGCTTGTCTTCGCTGCGGTCTGTCTGCCTCGCTCTCTGGGTGTGGAGCCCTCGCGCGTTGAGCCTCCCCCACCGCGGGGTGCGGAGCGGCCTCTGCAGCTGGAGCCCGTCCTGTTCGAGTCCCCGGGCGCCATCTTGGAGAGCGGTGCTGCTCGAGCAGACGTGCTGCGGCAGCGACTCGTAGCAGTGTCCTCGCAGCGGCTCGCTGTCTCCCGGCGTGCCCGTGCCGAGCAGGTGATCTGGTTCTCGTCGTCGTTGTGGACATGGGCCCCGTCAGGGTCTGGCGCACCCCAGCACAGTGGGATAACGACGTCCCGGGAGAGCCTGCAGAGCTCAGCGTGGATGTGCAAGCACAGGGAGTACCTGGAGATCCGAGTGCCGTAAATGCTGCACGGCGGGTATACGGTGAAGAAGTGGTGGGCAAAGTATTTCTCCGCGGGCGTATGGCGCCGCGCAGGGCGTTGCCCGGCCGTGGCGGGGAGAGCGCTCCCTCTTTCCCGGCGGCCTCGGCCGAAACGCCTCTTCCTTCTCCTCCTCCTCCTCCTCCTCCTCCTCCTCCTCCTCCTCCTCCAGTGTGTCCTCTTCCAAGGTATACAGGTCCACTGTTTCTGATTGCGCATGGCCCGATAGTGGTTCTTTGGGGGAGCTCCATGTCCGCTATGGCACCCGTCGGCGGAGAACGACCAACGGATCCGCGCCATGGAAAAGGATGGGCGAGGAGGTGTAGGATGTCAGATCTGGCGCGAGCGCACCTTGCTTGTCCCATCCTCCCCTCCCGAAATCCCCCCTCTCCATCCCCATTCCCCCCTTCTCTCACCATCCGCACTCGGGGCTTGCGCTCTCGGCCGGCACCCCTGCTGGGAAGGTTCTTCGACGAAGCGCGCTTCGCGAGCGGGGACCTTGCTAAGGGCCCCGACGAGTGAGGCCAGCAGGCTTCGGGCGACGGCGCGCCGCTGCAGGCAACCCGAGGACAGGAGAGGGAAGAGGAGTCGGAGCGAGGGCAGGCGAGGGGGAAGGAGTGGAGCGAGGTACGTTAGCGGGCGAGGAACGGTATAAAAGTACATGTTTCCGCCGTCGGGGACGCCTCCCCCCCGGGCGGCTGAAAAGCTTCTGACCCCTACGTGGCATCGTAGGGGAGAATTTTGCAGGCGCCCAGGGGGGCAGGCGCCCCCCGACCGCGGAAGAGTCGATTTCACACCGTTATTCGCCCCCTGAGTGCTGGGGGAACTCGAGGAGCACGGGGGGGGCAGGGAAGGAGGGCCGGAGGGGGGGGGCGGAGGAGCAGCGGGGGGCGGAGAGAGAGAGAGGCAAGGGGGGAGAGGCCGCGGCAGAGGCAGAGGCGCAGGGAGAGGGCGGCGCAGGGGAGGCAGAGAGAAGCGGAGTGGGGGACGGTAGACATGCTTGGGAGGGAATCAGGGGAGGAAAAGATACCCATACCGCTAGTTAGCTGTTCCTCGCTTTCCCCCTTTGGGGGCCGCTTGGACGGCCCTCGTCGCCACCGCCGCCTTCGCCTCGAGACCCTGGTCAGAACGCACCCCGGGAGAGGTCCACGGAGTAGCGGTTTTGGTACCTTGTGGTTTCCCCAGGGGGACAGCGCCAGGCAGAGAGTGGGGGTAGGGTTGGAGCAGAGCTTGCTGCGTGAAACTGCAGCAAGCTGGCGGCGCAGCCACCAGCAGCCACGCCTCTGCATATGAGCGTGCGTGCCTTCAACAAGTCTCGCGTTGTCGCGGCCACACGTATTGCAAACCCCTCTTCAGCAAAGAGGACGAAGGAAGAGCATTAGGCGGAGGTAAGGAAGGCAAAGAAAAAGAGAGACGAGGACATGCGGAGGACCAGAGGTGGGGGGAAGCACATGTTTGCCGAGCGCTGCCTTGACATGTTGGATCCAACCTGGAATACCTTCCTTGCCGAAGCGGAAGTTGCCAGACGAGAGCTTGTCGTTCTTTTGGGCTCCAGGCGCCCGGGGGCGGGGCGGGCCCACCGCTTGGCGCGCCATGGCGCTGCGGCCCTGGAACGTGTTCAAGAAGACGTACTACGTCAGTCATGCCGGGGGCGCCTCGTTGCCAGTTGCCTCGCAGCTCAGTCTGGCCAGGGCGCGGCTGCAGACGGAAGAGGCAGGGGCCGGCGGGATCGGCGGTTCCTTCGTGGGTCGGCTGGGGCTGCTGCTGCCCCCCGCCGCGGCGATGTGGCTGCTGCTGCTTGCGGCGCGCTGGCGCTACCAGGATCCAGAGAAGATGCGGGCCCTCGACGCTTCCAGCAGCGTCGGTGGCTCCGTGCTCCGCGACTTTCTGGGCTGGCGCGTTGCGGCACACCTTGGCCCGTACCAGGTCCCGAACCTCGTGCGTGCGAGGCTCCATCAGGAGCCGCTGCAGACCTTGCGGCAGCCGCTCCTGCTCGACCACGAGCGTTCTAGAGCGCTCGCCCGGCTGGAGCAGCTGAGCCAGCGGCGGTTGGCGGCGCAGAGCCTGGCCCCCCTGGGCGGCCTGGAGCCGCTGTTCCTTGACGCGCTGGCGCTACCCGGGCCCGCGCGGGGCACAGCTCCTGGCAGCACAGAGTCACACAGGGCCGCCGCGCTGCGCGTCGTGCTCGATGTCGTGGGCGCCCTGCCACCAGAGGGCCGAGAAGTTCCGCCCTGGGTGCTCAGCGGCCTCGTGGCTGCGGGGGGCGAGCCCTGGGGCACGGCGCAAGGGCAGGAGCTGCAGGCGACCCTGCTGTGCCAGCTGCTGAGGTCCGCGGCCAACTGCAGGGCGGCGGCCGCCCTGCCCGAGGTCCTGGCCTACCTGAGCCAGCCCGGCATGAAGAGGACGGGAGACGAAGGTCGCGCATGTTGTGCCGTCGTGTGGCCTTCCTCTTGCTTGAGGAGAGGGGGACGGTGGCGGGAGGAGGAGCACCTCGGTACGGGATACACCTGCTCACAAGTTTATGTATATATAGTCCTAGAATGATTTGTGTATACAGGTGTATGTATATATATATATATATATAGATGCATACACATGTGTATATACATATATATATATGTAAATATGTGCATGGCATCGGGATCCCCCAGAGGAAAGAGGAGACCTGGTGGCCTGTGAAAGCCTACCTCCTCAGCGGCGAGACGCCCGACCTGCTGCGCAGGGGCCTGAGGCTGGTGGCCAGGGAGTGCCCCGACGCCGTCGTGGTGCAAGGATAACCCTCGTTACCCGCCCGTCCGGTCTTCCCCCGCGTCCCCTCCCCCACCCTTCCCCCCCCATTCCTTTTCCACGTCCTGTCCTCCGCCTCCAATCCCATGCCCCGTGCAACCTCCTCAACAGCATCCGCCTCCTCTTCCTCCTCTTCCTTCTCCTCCTCCTCCTCCTCCTCCACCCTCCTTCTCCCCTCCTCCTCCTCCTCCTCCTCCTCCTCCTCCTCCTCCTCCTCCTCCACCCTCTTCCTCCGATTCCTCCTCCACCTCCGCCCTCCCCCTCCTCCCTGCACCTCTCGTCGTCCCTCCTACTCCTCCATCCTCCTCCCTCCCTCCTTCCCTTGCCCGCCCCCACCCTCGTCCCCTCTCCCCCCATCTTACCTGTCCAAATCGCCTCCTCTTCTCTAGGGGGGGAGAGAGGGAGAAGGGGCAACAGAGAAAGTCTTCCAGGTGCCTTCTCGGCCCGACCGGGATACCCCGAGCCTGCAGACCAAGCGCGACTTGCGCAGCCTCTGGACGACCGCCTTGGCCACCGCGGCGTGGGCTTCCGTAAGGGCGTGGCGCGGTGTGCTGGACGTGCGGGCGTTGGCGCAGTTGGCCGCGGCATGCGGCGGCGCTCTAGGAGGCGTGGCAGCGCTGGAGGCCTTGTGGCGCGTGGAGGAGCAGGTCATCGAGACTGAGTGGTACTTCGCGGAGTCCAGCGCCGCTCTGGCGGGTTCTGCAGGAATGTGTCTGGCGAACTGTGTGGTGCTCGCATGGGCGGCCCGCTGGTCGGCTGTGGTCCCCTTTGCCTTCGCACGGCTGGCCAAGGACGACTTGTTGGACGCTCACCGTTCATTCGACGAGATCTGACGTTCCATAGTTGCGCGGCCGACGCCGCGCACGATGCATCCATGCTGTCCGTGGTGATGGCCGTTCTTGCAGCGACGTCCTGTAGACACCGCGGGGGGCATCACACGGACCAAACAAACACCATATTATCCAGCTGCCTGCAGCAAGTGCTGCCACCGTGCCAGCCCAGATTTCTGAGTTGCGACTGTTCGAGGGTGCCCAGAGGGCCGTCACGTGTGACAATTCGTGTCCCCAGGCTCGGGATTGTCGGGATGGTGATGGTGGTGGTGATGGTGGCGGCGATGATATTGATGATAGCGATGGCGATGAAGATAATGATAAGGATGAGGATGAGGATGAGGATGAGGATGGTGGTCATTGTCATCAGAATGATGATGATGCTGATGATGATGATGATGGTGGTGGTGGTGATGGTGATGGTGATAGTGATGGTGATGGTGATGATGATTACGGTGATGTTGGTGATGATGATGATGATGATGATGGTGATGGTGATGGTGATGGTGATGGTGATGGTGATGAAACTGATGATGGTGGTGATGGTGATGGTGGTGACGGCGATTATCATGATGATGATGATGATGATGATGTTGATAGTGATGGTATGGTGATGGTGATGGTGACGATTACCGTGATGATGATGGTTATGGTGATGGTGATGATGATGATGTTGATGCTGATGATGATGATGGTGGTTGTGACGATGATGGTAATTGAGATCATGGTGGTGATGATGGTGGTGATGGTGATGGAGGTGATGATGATGGCCATGATGATGATGATGATGATTATAATGATGATGATAATGATGATCATCATGATGATGATACTGATGATGATAGTGATGATGTTGATGGTTGTGTTGATGATGATGGTGGTGATGGTGATGATGATGATGATGATGGTGGTGGTGGTGGTGAGGGGGATGAGGAGGATGTGAAGGAGGAGGAGGAGAAGGAGCTGGAGGAAGAGCATGGCTATCACATGTGACATTTTCGGCTTGACTAGTGGAGGAGCCCTCATGGAACACGGTTGAGCCGTCTTGTGGTTGCGTTGGCTTCCCGTGAGGCAGTCTTGGGAGCCTTCGGGGGCCCTCGTGGGGCTCTGTCGGGCCGTCTTGGGGACCTTTTGGCCGTATAGTTGATGCTCAGGGGCCGTCGTGGGGCCGCCTTAGGCTGTCGAATGGCCTTCTAAGGTCGCCTTGGCTCCGACAGGAGGCCCTCCTGGGCCGTTTTGATGCCATGTTGGGCCGTCCTGGAGGCATCTTGGCTTCGGGAGCGCGCGACTTGTTTACAGTTTACTATGGAATGTGGCCCCGGGAGCGCGAAGCTGTTGCATTTTACTAGGGATGTGGCTTCGGGAGGTGGGGCGATGCATGCAAGCCAGTGCTGGTAGAGGGGGGGTCTTAGAAGAGTACAGAAGCCTTGCCAGGCAGCTCTTGGCATTCTAGCAAGCCTCAACGTGCCAGGGGGCGCAGTGACGGTTGTCGAAGGCGGCTCAGGCGAACCACTTCCGCGCCCTGAAATTGTGGAAGGCATTGTCGCCTATCGTCGATGGACAACATCACCCGATTGTGGCTGAAGTCTGGTTTCCTCAAGTGTTGTTGGGACAGGTGGGGTAACGCAAAGGTGCAGCAGGCTTTCTAGCAAATTGTTGTCAGCAACCTTCCAAATCCGTTCCAAAGTAGCTCCTGGCAGGGACGGACAGGGGACCGACCACGACGACGACGACGACGGCGACGTCGACGACGACGACGGCGACGACGACGACGACGGCGATGACGAGCGAAAGCGAGAGCGAGAGAGAACGACAGCAGGGCCACGAAGGACACGAAGTAGGCCACGAAGGGCGACAGCGGGGACACGAAGGGACTGCGTATGGGGCCACGAAGAGCGCGAACGAGCGGGGGCCACGAAGGGCAGATAACGCGGGGCCCCAAAAGGCAACGATGGGGCCATTGAGGGTAGCAACTGGGCCACGTAGGACCGTGAGGGGGCCACAAACGGCGACAGCGGGGCCACGAAGGGCATGCACATGGGGCCACAACGGGCGCGACTCCTGGGTGCCTGGGTGTCGGGAGCGTGGCGCTTGAGCAAATTGCAAGAAATCCCAACGCAAGGGCGCTATTCATGTTTCAGTAAATTGCAAGCAAGTCTCCTGCGAGAGCGCGACCCCAGAGCGCCGGGAGAGCGATTCCTGAATACATTGTAAGTCCCAAGCGAGAGCGCGATTCCTGCATAAAATGCGAGGAAGTCTCAGGAGCGGGGGTCCTGAGTAAATTGTGAGGAAGTCTTCGGCGGGAGTCGTTGTTGTTGTTGTAACCCGGGGGCCAGGGGCGTAGTTTTAGCATAAATTGTCCCTGTAAAAAAACCGGGTGAGAGCGTCGAGGGGCACATTTTGATTGAGAAAAAACAGCCTACACCGGTGAGGGGGATCAACAAGAATTATTTTTCATAAGTGAAAGTTCAACAATAACAACAATACCAACAACAGCAGCAGCAGCAACAACAGTAACACCAACACCACCACCAACAACACAACAACAATAACAACAAGAATAACAACAACAATCATTTTAAGATTGTTCGCCCTTTATCTGTTCGAGTGTCCAATAACGCGTATTTCCCAAACCCTCGGTACCCGCCCTTCTCGTCTTCGATCGAATCCATTTAGAGGGGTATACCTTTCTGCCCTGCAGGCCGGGCCCCGGCAAGCGGCGGGGAGGCCGCGGACCGTCGGCCTAGCCAGCGGCAGCGCTGATCGGCGGGGCGGCCGCGGACCGTCGACCCGACCCCAAGAGGGACGGACAGGGGACCGACCACGACGACGACGACGTCGACGACGACGACGACGACGACGGCGACGGCGAGCGAAAGCGAGAGCGAGAGAGAACGACAGCAGGGCCACGAAAGACACGAAGTAGGTCACGAAGGGCGACAGCGGGGACACGAAGGGACTGCGTATGGGGCCACGAAGAGCGCGAACGAGCGGGGGCCACGAAAGGCAGATAACGCGGAGCCCCAAAAGGCAACGATGGGGCCACTGAGGGTAGCAACTGGGCCACGTAGGACAGTGAGAGGGCCACAAACGGCGACAGCGGGGCACATGGGGCCACAATGGGCGCGACTCTTGGGTGCCTGGGTGTCGGGAGCGCGGCGCTTGAGCAAAAAAATATCCCGACAAAGCAACCTAACAGCGATGCGAGGAGCATATGTGGAAGCATTCCCCTTAAGATTCAGATGAGAATCCAGTTGTAGAATTCTGCTGTTCTCGCAGTCGTAGTCGCATTCGCGATGACAGTCGCAGCGGCCACGGCAGTCACAGCTTCAGCCTCAGCCTGCCTCAGCCTCAGCCTCAGGCTGCCTCAGCCTCAGCCTGCCTCAGCCCCAGCCTCAGCCTGCCTCAGCCTCAGCATCAGTCTGCCTTCACCCTCGGCCTCAGCCTCAGCCAGACTCAGCCTCAGCCTGCATGAGCCTCAGCCTCAGCCCCAGCCTGCCTCAGCATCAGCCTGCCTCTGCCTCAGCCTGCCTCAGCCTCAGCCTCAGCCTGCCTCAGCCTCAGCCTCAGCCTGCTTCGACCTCAGCCTCAGTCTGCCTTCAGCCTCAGCCTCAGGCTGCCTCAGCCTCAGCCTGCATCAGCCTCAGCCTCAGCCTCAGCCTGCCTCAGCCTCAGCTTCAGCCTGCTTCAGCCTCAGCCTCAGTCTGCCTTCAGCCTCGGCCTCAGTCTGCCTCAGCCTCAGCCTGCATCAGCCTCAGCCTCAGCCTCAGCCTCAGCCTGCCTCAGCCTCAGCCTGCCTCAGCCTCAGCCTCAGCCTGCCTCAGCCTCAGCCTCAGCCTGCTTAAGCCTCAGCCTCAGTCTGCCTTTAGCTTCGGCCTCAGCCTCAGCCTGCCTCAGCCTCAGCCTGCCTCAGCCTCAGCCTCAGCCTCAGCCTGCCTCAGCCTCAGCCTCAGCCCCAGCCTGCCTCAGTCTCAGCCTCAGCCTGCTTCAGCCTCAGCCTCAGTCTGCCTTCAGCCTCGGCCTTAGCCTCAGCCTGCCTCGGCCTCAGCCTGCCCCAGCCTCAGCATCAGCCTGCCTCAGCATTCAAAATGTGGCCCGGGAATGGAGCTCTGGGAACTCGAAGAACACAAAGTGGCCTACAGTTGGCTCTGGACATTCAAACTCATGCCCAGGAATGGAGTTCTGGGAACTCAAAGACCACGAAGTAGCTTACAGTTGGCTCCGGGCATTCAAAATCATGCCCAGGAATGAAGTTCTGGGAACTCGAAGACCACGAAGTGGCCTACAGTTGGCTCTGGGCACTCAAACTCATGCCCAGGAATGGAGTTTTGGGAACTCAAAGACCACGAAGTAGCTTACAGTTGGCTCCGGGCATTCAAAATCATGCCCAGGAATGGAGTTCTGGGAATTCGAAGACCACGAAGTGGCCTACAGTTGGCTCCGGGCATTCAAAATCATGCCCAGGAATGGAGTTCTGGGAATTCGAAGAACACGAAGTGGCCTACAGTTGGCTCCGGGCATTCAAAATCTTGCCCAGGAATGGAGTTCTGGGAACTCGAAGACCACGAAGTGCGCTACTGTTGGCTAAAAAAGGATTGTCCGGATTTCCCCGGATCCCGTCCGGATCCCGCCCAGACCCCCCTGGGGAGTCATGATATTTTGTTTTGACACCACTAGAAACCTATCAGTCTTCGCTATGATGTAAAAATCCCAAACAAGGGCGTTATTCTTCAGTCAATTGCAAGCAAGTCTCCAGAGAAAGCGCGACTCCAGAGCGCCAGAAAACGATTCCTGAATAAATTGCAGGAAGTCCCGAGCGACAGCGCGATTCCTGAATAAGATGCAAAGACGTCTCGGGTGGGAGCGGGGGTCCTGGCTAAATTGTAAGGAAGTCTCAGGTGGGAGCCGTTGTTGTTGTAACCCAGGGGCCAGGGGCGCAGTTTGAGCATCAAGACTTGCCTTGCCAAAAAACAGGGTGCGAGCGTCGAGGAGCACACTTCGATTGAGAAAAAAACAGCTTGCACCGGTGAGGGGGGATCAGCAATAATTATTCTTCAGAAATACGAGGTCAACAACAACACCAACAGCAACAACAACAACAATCCGCGCGAACGTACAACTCTCTGAGCTCCACGCGGGTCTCTTGGATCGGCGATGGGGCCCCCTTAGGTG